TCCTCAGCGTCGCCGCCGCCAAGCGTGGCAGCACCACCCCCGGAGGAGCCCAAAAGCCTCGCCAAAAGGCAATCGGTTCTCTAGGGCTTTTAAACATGCTTGTTGTTGAGAGCTTTGTTAGATCAGGGCTATAGAAGAAGTTTAGCTTGATAAGGGCCACACGGCTGTGTAATGATGAGGCATCTAAAGGTCTGGAGAAAGTGGGTCTGAGTCTTAAGGGTATCACTATGGCAGGGATACATTGCCGAAGATGCTGTCCTCATCATGCTATAAGAGCCTCGATTGCTCGGCTTTCCAGTTTCGGCGTTACCACAGAGGGTTAAGGAACCTTTTAAGCCTAGTGGCTTTCCGGTTGATTCTTGAGGTTTAGGGTTTTGCTTGTCGAGGCGGCCGTCGTCATTGTCGTCTTCGTCGTCAGTTCGTCGTCGTGGTGGAGATCGTTGTCGTCCTGGAAAGGAGGGTGTTGGTAGTAGCAGTCACTCGTATGAAGGCCCTGCTTAGCCAAATCTTCCGTATACGGCTCCTTAGTTTCCTGGGTGTACTTTACACTACCAAATATGCCAAACCCTAAACCCTAAACCCTAAACCCTAAACCCTAACTCCTAAACCGTGGCTCCAAACCTTTGTTAAACCTTTCCTCAATAAGGCCTCCCGGGCTCCTAATTAAGTGCCTTAACAAGCAGAATGGGGTGTTGGGGTCCAGTACTACGATGAGAACAGGGAACCCCCAAACAGTACTGACAGGGTTCCGGGGTAGATTGGAGTATGATCTTTAAGGAACCGTCCCTGTACTATGCACTCGTTCTGCTTCTGCTGTGTTGGAGACAGCACCACCAGTACTGCGACGGCGAGAGATTCTGGCTGTGATGGCTTTGCTTAAGGCACGTATTCTGTCTAGTTGCACTCCTACACCATACAGTACCTCTTGAACTAGATATAGACCTCAACTCCAGAATGTTTTCCGCGACGTTCAGAAATTTCCCGAGCCAAGCCGCACGACGCGACGGGGGCTTTCAAGCGAGGCGGCCATAGCTTTCCAGACACCCTCTAATTTGGGATCCTCTACGACCCTTTCAGGGATCTACGTGTTGGATCCCCGCAGGGGTCCGTGTTGCATCAAAGCAAGCTTTTGGGTCGGCAAAAATCGGGATCCAAATCTCAACAGTACGTGCCGTTTACACGGTCTTAGATCCTAAACCCGAAGCCCCAAACCCCAAGTTCATCATAGCAGGCTCTAGAGAGCACTAGTTTGTTGCAGAGCCAACAAGCGGCAAAGCACATGCCCTCCGTGGCTGTCTTTAATCATTAGAATAAGGTTTTGGGGCCCATTCTACTGTAATTATAATAAGGAGCCCCCAAAATAATCTAGGTAACTGTTTAGGGGCCCGTATATTAGGTTCATGGCAGACTCTGTAGTCTCCCGCACTTGAGACTTGAGCTCCAGAAGCAGATTGAAGCTTGAGAGGAAAGACTCCCTGCACTGGATCAAGACCCGCCCCAGAAGACCAGCTACCCTACACAAAAAGTCGAGCTACTGGTCCGAATATCGTAGATCAAACTCATAATATAGTACCACCATAATACCCATAAGCCAATAAACCCTGAACCCAAAACTCGATCCTAGGGCTGCAGCAGCACACGCGGTGCACAAGAGCTCCGAACTCTACTTTTTTCGACAAGGCTTTGGGCTTAGGGGTCAAGGCTTATATAGGGTTTAGAGTTCAAGGTTTAGGTTTTTGTTTAGGGCCAGGGTTTAGGGTTTAGGGTTTATGGGGCTAAAGGGTCACGGTTTGCTCGACAGGGCCCGTCCTTTCGAGGGTTCCGCGGCATCTTTTGCCTTCCTTCCAGGGCCCCTTTCAGGGCTCAAGGGTTTAAGGGTTTGGGGTTTAGGGGGTTTAGGGTTTATAAAGTTTTAGGGTTGCGATTTCACTGTCAGAGCTAGTATTCTTCATTAAGGTTTAAGTTTCCGGCTGTACTGTTCCGAGCTTCACAAGCCCGATACTCCCCTTTACAAGGTGCTTTTTTCCACAATGTCGTTTGCTTCTTTCAACCCTAAACCCTAAACCCTTCTTAGTTGAAGAATCCCGGGGGGGGGGGGGAATTCTCTAAGCCTCCTTTTGCATATAACGCTGCCGTGCAAAAAGCAGCCTCTGACATCTTCAGAAGCACAGGGACAGCATGCAGGGTTTAGGGTTTAGGGTATAGAGTTAAAAGTTGCAATGCCAAAATAACTGAGCCAAACCGTGATAGACTAGAGTTGCAAGCAGGCTTGTGCTATTGAACTAGGTTGGAGAATGTGAATATCGATGGAGATTGTCATTTTGCCTATGTAAATATCAACAAATTTGCAATTCGAAAGCCAAGCGTGCTGGTATCAGACATATTCAATTTTCGACATCTTTAGATGCATCCCAGCTTTGTCAGTCGGGATTCGATTTCTTCAAAATTCGCACACTACTAGTACAAGTAATTTCGTCGTCGCTGCCGCTGTCGCCATCATCGTCTTCTTCATAATCGTAGCACAAGTTGGAAAGTAGCAGCGGGAATAGTTTTTTTACTACTACTACTACTACTACTACTACTGGTACTGCTACTGATGCACGCGGGCCGGTGCTTTATTTTCACGGATATGCAGATACGCACCCAGGCCGGGAAAATAACTGGTTTTGCTGTGGTGTTGATAGTAATTTTCGGATCCCAAAACGACGATAAAATAAATGGAAAATTACTGGGTGGGTGGGTGGTTCGTTCAGGGTGGGCGTGTAGTTCGTGGAAGGAGGTGCTTTTTTGTTCTTTTTTTGTTGGGGGGGGAGGGCTGTTACCCTTGAATATATAGTATACTGTAGGGTTTAGGGTTTTGGAGTTTTGGGGTTCCATAGATGTCACAGGGCTGTCGTAACGCTGGTGGTAAGGATAAATCCCAAACCTTGCGGACTGATGCTGCCGCTGGCGTGGGGGACGGGAGCGTTCGTTCAGGTTTAGGGTGTAGGGTTTAGGGTTTAGGGTTAGACACAAGCTAACTTAAAATTTGAACACCCCAAGAGACTGCGCATTTCCGTGTTGGTCCCACCGCCGCATGCCGGCGGAAGCGAGCACGGCTGGAACCTGGACAGCTCCAGGAAAAATACACACAGCAGCCTAAGCCCTAAACCCACGTGACCAGGAAGAGGGGCATGTGAACCCCTAAACCCTAAACCCTAAACCTGAGTGGGAGCCCACCGGCAAGACCTCCTGTAGGCTCTTCTAATCGGCATGGGTTCAGCAGTTTCCCAGCTGAAGCTTCTTTCTGTGCAAATGCTGTTTTGGTCTTCGCTGCAAAGCGCATACTCCTTGAGAGTTCAGCACCGGATGGGAAACAGCGCGCTAATTACACTTCATGACAATGGCGAGCGGCTTAAAAAATTAAACACTCCAACACTTCACGCTGCTGGTAGGACCAAGATGTTGCTGGGCGCTCCCTCCGGGAGGTTGGCCTCAGCATCGCAGGGGCGTTGGCTGGAGCACGAGCGACAGTGGATTCAGGGTCCCGGGCACGTCGCAAAGCCCTCGGGCGAAACCGGAGCCCAAATTCACATCCAACCAGCCGAGACTGAATTCACAAATCACACTTGCCGCGGCAAGATGGGCTACGAAGCTCATTTCCCTCAGGCCATGCAGGAACAGCGCCGGGACCACCTCCCTCTCTTGCCCCATCTTGCGCCGGAGGCGCGAGCCCATCGACGCGCGACGGGGTCCCAAGGAAATGCAGTGGCCCAAGAGCTCAGGTCCCTTTGCCTCCGGGACTATGGAAGACATGGCGCTCCTCCGTGTGCCTCGTGAGTCGAGGTCTTCCTTGCACCAGGGGTCCAGCTTGTTAGCCAGTTCTGGCTTCAGCTCGCTGGCCATGAGACTGCCGACTTCGGCGTTGCTATGGGGCTTCGCACCAGCAATCATCTCCGGCGGGACCGGGGCCGTTGGCAGCAGCTCTCGGAGCACAACCTATCGCGAAGTTAAGACATGGGACGGGGGAGGGTTGGTCAACACAGCTTGAGGGTATTGCTTTTGCTTTGGGTGGGGGACTTTTGTTTTTCCATGCTTTAGGTCTTCCCCTTGAGTTCTACATGGCCCTTTCACTTCCCTTATCACGTAGTTTGTAATGTTGCTCACCTGATCCTCGAGGACCTCAAAGATGAGCAACACGACGATTGCAATGGCTGCAGACACATTGAAGGCCGGAGCCCGGGGCCCTGCCCAAGAGAGGTCACTGTAGTACATGGCCCGAGCAGCCACCAAGCTGAAAGGCACCACGAAGCGCAGGTAGCCGCCATAGATCTTGATCTCGTCATGCAGCTTCGACCAAGCAGTGGGCGCTGCAAGGTCCACCGCCCATCGAGCGCCCGCGACCCTCTTGGCGATCTGGAAGGCCACATAGCGCGCCCAGCCTTGTCGCACCAACACGTTCAACACCAGTGTCTGGACGGCGGCGCCGAGCCAGTAGAAGCTTCCAGTCCTCTCTGTTGAAGTATCAAAGAGTCTGACATGTCAACAATGGCAACGAAAGGAAACAAGCCTAAACCTAAACTCTATATCCCTAACCCTAAAACCCAACCCTCTGAGGCAAAAACACTTCCTCAGTCCTTATGGCCCCAGACAGCAAACCCACCAAGCGCACAGCCTCTGCCAGACTATGGGCTGCGACGACCATGAGGGGCAATGAGACGCACGATATGTCGCCCGGAACTGCTGGACGCTTGCCAAGCACAAGTTTTTCGTAGGCCTTCGAAGCGAATTTGACGAGTCCCGCCTCTGCAAGGGCCGTCGCAGAGGGCAGCAGGAGGGTTGCGACCACCTTCTGGCCCCTGGACAAGAGGAAAACGTAGAGAAACACGATGCTTGACATGATGATGCAGCATCCTGCAGTGCCGGAATACTGCGCCAAAGTCCACTTGAGGCATTGTCTCAGCCGGCGATGTGGCTGGCTGCTTTGGGTCAGCAAAACTTGCAAGCCTCCGCCTGGGATGATGGCGACTGTTGCCCCAATGACAGTTCCTGCTAGGGTTTAGGGTTTGATGTTTAGGGTTTCGAGTTTAGGGTTTCGCTCCCGGCTCCTGTGAGGTCTGTTACCCCTGCAGAGCCCAGAGCCAAGGTCATGATCACGAGGAACACGATGCCGGAGGCTTGCGGTGCAACTGTGGGGAGGGTCCCTGCCAAGCTAACCGACATGCTTTCGGCATACCCAAAGACCATGAAGATGGTCGCCATACTGAGAAGCAGGCCGCGCCACCACGCAAAGCCGCCAGCTTGGGCATGCTGCTCAAAATGCATGGAGACCAGCCACCTCACGGTGTGCACCAGCAGTTGTAGGATCATGCAAGGCACGATTCTGCGGAACGAGCAAGTGCCACAAGGCTTCAGCTCGAGGTCAGCCACCTCGACTTCCAGCTCAGTTGCAAGCTGCATGTCGGGGTCCAAAATGACCTCGCCGGAGATCTCCATCTCGATGCTCCCATCCTCGGCGAGAATGCGAACGTGTCGCATCTTGCCAGACGTGAGGAAAACATGCAGCTGCTGTTGCTCCTGGAGTTCCACAGCATCTGGACCGGTTTTGGTCCACCTGGTGCGGAGGGACGGGCCGAGCCTCCTGCCGAAGCTCGTCGTCTCCCCTCTTAGAGGAGGATACCACAAGAACCACGCGTCCAAGGCCTCGAAGGCGCGAACTTGTACTCGCCGATCCTCGGGACCCTGGCTTAGGATGTGCACCAGCCGGCCCCCTGCTTGGAGGCGTCGCCGAGCAAGAACTTCTTCGGCCTCGGAGCCGCGGCCGACGATGATCAGGCAGTGGTCTCGGTAGCCCTGGGTCTGCATGTCCCAGACTTCTCTCACATGGCTGAAACCCTTCACCCCCAAATCTGGGAGCCGCCGATCCCAGCAAGCGGCGCCCTAACATGCTGCATCCTGCCGTCACAATACCCTGCTTCACCTGAACCTGATTTAGGGTTTAGGGGCGACTACGACTACGACTACGATCAGTACTGCTGCTACCTCCTGCTTCTACTACTACTACTACTACTACTACTACTACTACCTCTACTACCACCACCACCACCACCACTACTACTACTATTATTATTATTATTATTACTATTCTTCTTCTTCTTATTCTTCTTATTATTATTATCACTACTACTACCACCACCACTACCACCACGACTCCTTCTTATCACCGTAAGAACAATAACAACACCAATAATCCAACGTGATATCCAGACTGTAACTATATATAGGTCTATCCCATGATGGGGGATGAACTGGATCCAGGTTCAGAGTTTAAGTGTCTTCAAACCGAAGCAAACAAGCAACTACTGCATACCACCAAAGCAAGAGGGTGGCTCTGCAAGCCCTATAAGGCCTAAACCCTGCACGCTCTAAGCCTCTAAACCCTACGCCCTCAACCCTGGGCCCAAACATCCCCAAACCCCTTCACACCCTACGCACGAAATCCTACACCCCAAACCTGAAACGCTCAACCAACCCTAACCCCGAAACGCTACTAGCCCTGTACCCTCAACTCTATACACTCTATAAAACTAAGCCGTAAATTCTTTTTTTAAAAAAGCCTTTAAACTTCCAAGCCTCTGCACCTGAAGCCCCTACACCCTAAGTCCCTCTACATAAACCCGAAGTCCTTAAACCTCTCAACTCGTACACCTCCTAAACCTGAGGGTTTAGGGTTTAGGGTTTGAGGAACCCCTAAACCTTTATTCTTAAACTTTGCAACGCCCATACCCGTATAGTTAGTTACCTCTTGAACTCTTAAACCCCAAAACCCTAAACTCGAACCCCACTCGTAAGCCCCAAACCCTAGACCCTAAACCCGAATCCTGAACAGTTTACTTCACGCCTTGCGTTCTGGTCGAAACCGACTGCTGGTACCGCTCTGGCTTCCTGCTGCTTTGGGTGGCACATGAGGTTTAGCATTTGAGGCTTTGGGTGTAGGATTTTGGGTTCAGGATTTAGGATTTCGGGTTTAGTGTTCAGAGCCAAGGATTTATAATGCAAGGTAAAGTTCGAAGCTACAATTCTGACTTAAGCTTTGACCTTTTGTTTTGTGTTGCTTGGCTTCGCAGAGCATGCACTATGCTGCTACTGTAGCTGCAGCTGCAGCTGCAGCTGCAGTTGCAGCTGCAGCAGTAGCAGTAGCTGTAGCTGCAGCTGCAGCAGTAGCAGTAGCTGCAGCAGTAGCAGTAGCAGTAGCAGTAGCAGTAGCAGTAGTAGCAGTAGCAGTAGTAGTAGTAGTAGTAGCAGCAGCAGCAGCAGTAGTGGTGGCGGTGGTAGTAGTAGTAGTAGTAGTAGTAATAGTAGTAGTCGTGGTGGTGGTGGTAGTAGTAGTAGTAGTAGCAGCAAGAGCCGTTGTCGTTGAGGTTGCAGTTGTTGGTGGTACTAGTAGTAGAGGCAGTAGCAGTAGCAGTAGCAGTAGCAGTAGCAGTAGC